ACACACACACACACACACACACACACACACGCACACACACACACACACACACACACACACACACACACACACACACAGCACACACACACACACACACACACACGCACACACACACACACACACACACACACACACACACACACACACACACACACACACACACACACACACACACACACACACACACACACACACACACATGCGTACACATTTATACACTATCACACTCAGACGCAAATACATACATACATACATACATACATACATACGTTTATACACACACACACACACACGCCACTTGCACACACACTCGCCAGCAAACACACGGGCATTCACTCAATCCCTCACTAATTTCACGGTACTTACGACCACTTAAGGTGCACAGATGGCCGGGCAGCGCACGTGCGTCAGTAGCAAGCATGTTCAGTGTAGGCTCAGTGTCGTGGCTCTAAGAGGAAGTTCTTGGGACGTGCGGGGGCGGGGGGCGGGAGGGGGGGGGAAGGGGGCGTGACTAGGGCTCGGACGGACCACGCCTACGCACGGGAAGGGTGCCAGCGGGAGAGGAGTACTTCGGCGGCGATGGGTGGGGGGGGAGGGGGAGTGCCTCGGCCGCGCTGTAGGGGACCTCCTCGAGGGGCTTCGACTCCGAAGATGGCGGCGCGTCTCCGAAGAAAGTGCGTCTCGGAACGGCGAAGGTGAGGCTGAGGCTGAGGATGGTGGGGATGGTGGGGATGGCGGCGCTTATTTATTGCCGGTTTGAACGCGTGTGAAATCCAAGAGAGAACGGGAAAGGTAGGTGATGATGTAAGGGGATGGGCGCCCCCACGACGCGGGCGTAGAGGACGAGGTGTCGGTGGGCGTGAAGGTGTGCAGGGAGTGGCAAAGGGTGGGGATGGAAGGGGAGGGCGGTGGAGGGGAGGAGGTGGAGGGCCCCCCTTGCGAGGCGGTGCACATCAAAGGGGTCCCGTCGGCATGTATTTATAACAGTGGTGGTGCCGAAGCCGCAGCAGCAGCAGCAGCCCTGGCCCATCTTGTTGGAGTTGTAAGACCCCTCTCTTCCTCCCCCCCCCCTACCTGCCCATCTCCCCATCTCTCCATCTCTCCCCCTCCTTTCCCTCCTACCTATACCACCCATCTCTCCCTTCCCTTCCCCTTCCCCCAAATCTGCCCATCTCCCCATCTCTCCCCCTCCTTTCCTTCCCCCCTTACTTCCTTGCCCCTCTCCTCCCCCCCCACGTGTTCTTTGCCTCGTGTCAGGTGAAATTCCGGAGTTCCTCGTGGCATGGCCGTGTCCTGCTCGGCGGACTGGCCAGCGCTGGCGTCATGCACAGAAAAGGAGAGGATAATGTGAAAAAGAGGAAGAGAAAAAGAAGCAAGAGGAAGAACAAGAAGGGGGTCAGGGGGATCAGGAGGGGGGGGGGCGAGGACCACCTTGGTTGTTGTGGACATAAAATAGAAAAGACGAAGGGGGTTGGACGGAGGGAGTGGGGAAGGGGACGAGGGGAAGGGAGAGGGGGAGGAAGAGGTGGGGGTAAAGGTGGAAAGGGTAAAGAGAAGGAAAGAAAAGGGATGGGAGGAAAGAAGAGGCAAAGAGGAGGGAGGAGGAGAAAGGGAAAAGAAAAGGAAGAAAATAAGAAAATAGACGAAGGAGAGGGAAAGGAGGGGAAGGGGGAAAGGGGCAGAAGACTAATTTCCATAGCGGCTTACACAGGTGGGGTGTGGACGCGAGTGAAAGTGAGAGGAAATGCTCACGAAATGTTTATAAGATGGCTTATTTATTTATTTGATTTTCCTCTCTCTTTTTTCCGTCTCCTCTTCTAAACTCGCTCATTTATTCGTGCCTTTCGACTTTCTTCGCCTGCCTCGGGTCGTGACAGCATGGACTGTGTTTGTTATGGTACAATCTTGTCAGTGCAGCCCCTCTTGTTTACGTATTCATGATTGAAGATGATCGGGGGGGGGGGGGGAAGGGAGGAGGGAGAAGTAGGGGGAAGGGGGTAGGGGTAGAAGGAGGGGGGGGTTAGAGGATTATACAAAGGCCATTTCTGAAGAGGCGGGCTTTTAATTTCCCAAAATATCTCTTGGCAAGAAGTAGTTTATCGTGGCTGCCGATCGTTAAACATGCCCGTCAACCTTCTCTACCCAGCTTCCTGTCTCCTCTTTTCTCTCTCTCTCTCTCTTCCTTCCTCCTCTTCTCTCCCTCTTCCTTCCTCTCTTCCTTATATGCGTGTGTGTGTTCGTGTGTGCGTGTTTTTTTTTCCGCGTGCGTGCGTTTGTGTTTTGACTCATGTGTATTTCTGGCCGGGACCATGTGCGCGTCTGTGTGAGTCACGTATGTACACACGGTCGTACGTTCACGGTTTCCTTTGATCTTGTCACTCGCTGCCAGGGAGGAGGGGGCGGGGGAGGGGCGACAGAGGGAGGGGGGCGTAAAGGTAGAGGATGGGGAGAGGGGGAAAGGGGAGGAGAGGGGATGGGGAGGGGACGTAGGTAATAGTGTCTGGAGGTAAGGGATCTAAATGGCTGTGGGGAGGAGGGGGAGGGAGGAGGAGGAGGAGGAGGAGGAGGTAGAGTTGTCGTCTTAGGTAAGGAAGATAAAGAAGGAAAAGAAGGAAGAAGAGAAGATGGATTCGGGTCGGGGGCGTGCGTTGCATCCCGCCATTGAGATAAGGGGATGGATTAGCGAGGGAATGCATACAGCAACGGAATTTCCTAAAATGGCGTAACAGATCCGAGTTCTTCATTATTATTTTCATCTATAAATGGAGAAAAAAAATGCCAATAGAGATCCTAGAAATGAAGAAGACGAAATAAATAAAAAAAAAAATGGGTAGGCTCATTCAGCAGAGAGCATGAGCAGCAGCAGCAGGACTCAGCAGCAGCAGCAGCAGCAGCAGTAGTAGTAGTAGTAGTCCCTTGGAAGCGGATGTTGGCCATGACCCAAGGTTCTGCGAGGGAGGGAGGGGAGGGGGAGAGGGGGTGGGGGCGGCGCGCGAGGATTTCAATAGACGAGGTGCCAATTAGGGAGTTTAGCGACCTGTCGGGAGATATTACCCGGGGGGGGGGGAGAGTCTTGTTTGTGTGATGGGGGAGGGGTTGGGATTTAGGGGGGTTCTCTCTTTCTTCTCTCTCTCTCTCTCTCTCTCTCTCTCTCTCTCTCTCTCTCTCTCTCTCTCTCTCTCTCTCTCTCTCTCTCTCTCTCTCTCTCTCTCTCTCTCTCTCTCCTCTCTCCCTCCCTCCCTCCTCCCTCCCTCTCCCTCTCCCTCCCTCCCTCCCTCCCTCTCCCTCAGGGCCGTAGGGATGGGTAGGAATGGGTCGATGGGTTAATTCACAGCCTCACATGGCATTTATTTCGACTTTTATTTCGCCCTTTCCTTCGGCTCTTCTGAAACGTTTATTTTTTTTTTCCTTTTGCTCTAAGGCTGGAGAGTATTGTTCGCGTTTTCTATTGGCTAATTTTCTGAAGATCAATGGCTCACGTCTGGAGGACTTTCGTAAAAGTGCCGAGGTTGCACGACCGGGAAAATGCACTCCCGGCTGCACTGGCGATCCGCGCTGTGCAACCGGGGAGTAAAAAAAAAAATATCTTGTTATGTTTATATTTTACCTTGGCTTCCTCTTCTCCCTCCCCCTAGTTAACAAGCATCATTATGTGGTCAAAGCGTGCTTGCCTCCCCCCCCCCCCCCCCCCCCCCCCCGGTGACGTGCCTGCGAGACGATCTGTCAGTCGCCGAGTGACGCTAAGTAACGCACGAGAGAGATTGCCAAAAAATCTTGCTTTCGGTTGAGTCTGCGAAGGACTTCACTCCGCCCGCGCCCGTGGGTGTGCACGCGGATTCGGGAGCTGAGGGGGTGCGAGAACGAGGGCGGGGGGGAGGAGGGAGGGGGATGGATGGGTGAATCTATGGGCAGGTAGAGTAGAGAGAGAGAGAGAGAGAGAGAGAGAGAGAGAGAGAGAGAGAGAGAGAGAGAGAGAGAGAGAGAAGAGAGAGAGAAAGAAAAAAACGAGGGTAATGACGCCCCCCCCCCCCCCCCGCCAATGCCGCAGCGCCGTGTCCATCGCCGCAGAGGAACTCCCCCGACGGAAGGGAGTTCCTTAGCGTCCCACGGCGGGTCGGGTCGGGCGGCTACCCGAGACCCGGTGTATGGTAATCCGGCCCAAGATCCCGCGGGAGGCTCACCTTACTCAACCTCACTCGCGAGAACCGGACGTGACGTCACGCGGGTATATTTTTCCACTGAGCTGTGGTGCGATTTGTGTTTGTTGTCGCACGGAGCGGCCCTGGCGCGGCGGCGGAGTTTGTTTGGAGTAGGAGTCAGGGGAGGACGCCACCGGGCAGGGGGGTGGGGTGGGGGGCTGGTGTAAGCAAGCAGGCGAGCGTGATGGGCAGGTGATGGGCGCGGGAATCGGGCGAAGGGCAAAGCAGGGGCGGTCCCGGGGTCCCTGCGCTGGCCGGCCGCCCGGAGTAGTGGGGGCGAACAGTAGCGGGATATCAGTGACGGGCGGCGAGTGTTGCGGTGGCGGTGCGGCCGCAGCTCGCCGTGCCCCGTAACGTGACCACCCCGGACAGGGTAACAGTACCCGCCTCCCCTCCCCCTGTCCCTTCCTACTCTCCTCCCCCCCTGTCCTTCCTACTCCTCCTCTCCCCTCCCCTCTGCGCTCCTTCTGTGCCCTTCCCCTTTCCCCTTCCTGCTCTGCCCTCCCCCTTATTCCTTCTACCTCTCCCCTCCCCTCTTATTCCTTCTCCCTCCCCTTCCTCTCTTATCCCTTTCTCCTCCCCCAACTTTCTTACCTTCCTTTCTCTCCCGTCCGCGCGACCAGACACGTCCTCCTTAGGGTGACGGACCTTGTAACGAGGATTAACATGTTTTGTGTTGGTTTGATTGGAAGTGGAAGCGCTTTCTCACATGTTTCATCTCCTGTTTATCACTGTATTTTTAATGTAATGTTTTCCTCCCTATGTGAACCTGATTATAACGTGGCTTCTTTCGCGTTGCAGATGAGGCGCGGGAGGCGGGCGTGGGCGTGCTGGTCCACTGCCTCGCGGGAATCTCTCGCTCCGTCACCATCACTGTCGCCTACCTCATGTACAAGGAGAAGCTCAACCTCGAGGAAGCCTACGAGTACGTCCGCGTCAAGAAGGCCAACATCGCCCCCAACTTCAACTTCATGGGCCAGCTGCAGGACTTCCAGCAGCAGCTCAACCTGTCGCCTCACAAGTGCCAGTGTGTGGCCGAGTGCCGCTGCCGCCACCTCCACTTCCTCACGCCGGCCCGCACGTCCCCCGACTCGGGCATCGAGTTCGACCGCTTCTCATGAGGGCTGACCCCCGCTGCCTCCATGCCCGCGGGCGGCACCCCCAGACTCTGCCTGGAGTCCCCCGCACCGCCCGCCCTTCCGCCCGCGGGTGTGGAGGCAGTGTGCGGCCCTGGCGGGGCCCGGGCCGACGACCACACTGAGGAGGACGAGGGGAAAGGAGGAGACGAAGGGGAAGAAGACGAGGGGGAGGGAGGAGCGGAAGGAGGGAACGACGAGGAGGAGGAGGGCTCCGACCTCCCCACCTGAGCAGCCTCGGCGGCGACGGCCCCACCCAAGTGCCAAAGGTGACCCTCCCTCTCGCCTCCTACACGGCTCCCCTTGGGAGTGTCCTACCCCCCACCCGGGTGAGCCCCAGGGGAGGAGCCCCGGGTCACCACACACGGCAGGGGGGAGGGGCCAGGAGGAGCCTGCGGCCCCCCTTGCCATAATCCAAACTTCCAGGTACAAATTTCTCGACGAGTGATCTCGCTTCTTTCGGGGAACCGCGTCGGCCGGCGACGGGGCGGGGGCGGCGCCGCCACCTCCGCCTCCGAGCCGGCGCTACGTTCATTCAGAGGAAAATATCTTTTATTTTTAAGGAAGATATGTGAACAGTTACGAAGTGTGGTGTTCAGGCTGCCACGAGCCTCTAACCAGTGTGTTCATCAGTTGAACTTCAGCGAGTGCGAAAATGTGTGTGAAGGTTTGAGACGTTTCTTCTGTACAGTTGTCTGGATGCAACACTATGAGGTGATAAACAATCATAAATATTTCAAAAAATACAAAAAAGTCTTAAAAGAAACCCCAAAACGTGATACAGATTGTTTTTCCCAGTATTTTGGTACCACAACATGGAGAAAGACGGTACGCTTACCTTTCCAAAAACAAACAAAAAAAAAAAAAAAAAAAAAAAAACTCACGAGGCGGCGACGGTGGGGATTCGCTTAAAAAGAAAACCAATCCCTTACAATATATATATATAGATGTATTCCCCTTGATGTGGAGAGAAAGAGAGAGAGAACAAGAAAACAAAAGCAAACAAAAAAAAAGAAATTGAAGAGACATTTCTGGAAATAAAATAAATGATCATAAATGTTTTGGACTTCCATATTCATTTTGAAAGAAAAACACGGCAAAAAAAACGTGTTTTAAAAGTCCGTAGTGCACCTGTGTGTTGTCCCGCCATCAAAGGGTTCATCTTGACCTCCTCGCCGCGCCTCTCGAATTCGCACCTCCTCAGGGATCGGGTCAGGCTGGGTCACATGGAAGGAGGAACAGAAGGTCATTCATTCAGGGTCATTTGGAAAGTAAAGAAAGAGGAATAGGAAGGAAAATTCGTTAAGGAAGAAGGGGAGGAAGGAGAAGAGAGATGGAAAGATGATTATAGATGGAGAAGAACAAGGTAAATTCAGCTCTGTGAATTTCCCTTGGGTGCAAGAGAGAGATCCTAAGGTATATGGTATATTTTTTCACTTGTCATACTCGACAGGTAGTGATGTGGTTTGACCATGTGTGAGCAGGGTAGAAAACTAAATTGTTTTGGAGTTTCTTGTGCGGGGTTCTAAACCCTTTATTATTCTTTGAGCGTTTAGAAAACAGATTTTTTTGACTTCCTCTCCCTAAACCCACCTGACAAGACCCTGAGGCGATGCAACCCTCTTGTAAATTGCTTTAAAGCAGGAGATATTGGAAATAACTAACACGAGTATTTACACATATATATATGTATTTGTGAAACGGTCTACGTACAAAATTAACAAAAAAAAATAATCATATGTATCACATTGATTTCCTTTTTTGAAGATAAAAAAATAATAATAATGATAAATACAATGAAAGTAATATATTTTTAATGTTATAACTCGAACGGCCAACGTGCTTTTTTATTTCTTATACGTGTACAGTTTAACTAGACTACCATTGTTCATATCACCGCTCAAATGTCTGGATCACGTGGTACAGGCGGGCGCGGTGGGGGCGAGGGGGCGACGCTCCTTCTGACTGCCAAATCCACACTCTTGAACCCCCCTCCCTCCGCTGGGGCCCTCCTACCCCCTCTCCCCATTCATATCCCCCCCCTACCCCCTTACGAATCCTCCGACATCAACTTTTGAGTAATCTTCGCACAATTCATTGTCTGGACGTGTGTATACGCAGGTGTGTGTGTACGTACACGGGTCCCCTGTGTGCGTACGTCCCACATTTGCGGGTACACACGAGGAGTCGATTTGGTGATCTCTGCTTTCAAATAAGAATGTGGCAACTGTCGACCGCGAAGTGCCTTTTTGGAGTCGAACTTTCTTATACACTGTGGAAGCTGAAGTCTTTATATATTGTCGTAGACTGTCATTCGTGCTCATCCCCATAGAGATAGGATATTGTATTTTTTCACTCGAATCACCTAAACTTTAAAAAAAGATACATTTAACGGAGTCTGCCGCGAGCCGTACTAACTTTACTTCTTTCTGTCTTTTCTTTTTTCTCTTTGTAAAAGCCCTAAGTACTTAATTGTTTTACATGTGTATAAATAAAGAGAAGATATTAGATGTAGCTTTTGTGAAGAAAAAACAACAATACTTTTTGATGAAATGATGTATGTTCCCCCCCCCCCCCCCCCCAACCCAGATAACATGTACTGCATGCCGAGGTCCCCCCCCCCCTTTCCTCAAATCTTTAGCTCGCGGTAAACATGTCTCCTTCCTCCCCCAAACCAGACAAAAAAAAACATCACACTCACACGCCCATACACCATACACGCCATAACATTACCATACACACGAGATTTGTAATTTTTTTTTTAGTGTACACGGCCCGATCGACAACCAGTACTGATCACTCACGCTTAACTATTGCCTGGCGATGTGTACACTTTTTGATCACACACACTCGTCGCCTACCAGTCAGTATTGCCAAGTAGCGGTGCGTCAAAGGCAGTGTTACGCTTCTAGGAACTCCGCTGGCCTAAAAAAAAAAGAAGTTTTATCCTTATTTTGGTCTCCACAATGTAAAGTCACGTAGGCCTATATCCCTGGCGGAGGAATAAAACGTCTTTGTTCTTGTGTTGTCCAGCAGCGATCACACAGTTTCCCATCCTCACTACACGACACATACAAGATACGACACCTATATAAACTATACTATAGGGCTATGTCGTTTGTTTGTTGTTTTTTCAAACAGTGTTGGATCCAAATGTAAGGTTAGGAAGACTGCGGTCGTTTTGTGATCGCTGAACTTCACTACTTTTCAATTTGATTACTGTTTGGTGTCTTGTAAATGCCATATGCGTTTTGTATTTCTCGAGTTGTAGTAGACAATACCAATCCGATTGTTGAATGACGCTACCCAACCCTTTCCACACTCATGTATACTCCCATCATTAAGTACGCGTGTATTTTTATCACACACACACACACACACACACACACACACACACACACACACACACACACACACACACACACACACACACACACACACACACACACACACACACACACAACGAAGTCTAAAAGAAAAAAAAAAACTTTGACCTGCTGGACCCCAGGATCGTACTCTCCATCCATCTTCTGTACTCATCCATCCATATGTATTCCTCAACATTGGACACCACCAGCTTCCATGCTCTACCCACATGTAGCAATACACTGACCCATGTGAAAGTTGATGCGCTTGACGGAAAAGCAGGATAGAACACAAGGTCTCCACTGAAAAAAAAAAAAAAAAAAACGCTGTAGGTTGTCGTGTGTTTGTATTTATTACATTTGTTTCTAATCGGTTTTGACTTTTTTTTTGTAAGAACAGAAATTCCCCTGTTTTTGGGGGCGAAGAAAGTGAATGCTATGTGGTATGTCACCTTTAGGTTGTGTCACTTGTTTAAAACAAAACTGCCTATATAAACTACACTGTACGGCTTTATTTGTATGTACATACCTCACATATATATATATATATATATATATATATATATATATATATATATATATATATATATATATGAGGAGTCTCCAGCACAAATGAGAAGGCCTAGCGTCCTATTCTGCCTTTGTGTCCCTTAGACGGATAGCCATCTCGAACCGGGGTCAGAACCGGCGACTGAACCAGGTTTCTGATGTTTATTCGCTTAATTGATCATTTCCGAGAGAGAGAGAGAGAGAGAAGAGATGAGTTAAAAGTCTTCTATTTTGCATTGAGATATAGATGAAAAAGAATAGTTTTTTGTAATAGTATTTACTGTTACTGTTATTACTCTATTTAACTAGGAATATCGTTATGATAACTATCCATATAGTTATTTTTTATTATTATAATTATTCTGATTATTGTAATTAGTACTGTTTATATTATTAATTTTTCCCCTGAGTCCTCCTTTTTAAGTTTTTTAATGTAATGCAATAAATAAGACACGTTTTAATGTTATGTTATCCTTTGTCCTTTGTTTGTTTGATGACGTCACTCGTTGCCGTTTTTCCCTTCCATGTCTTTCTTTTTCCGTTATTGTAAACATGAAATTGTATAGTTATTTTCTTCCAAGTCACTGTATTCTTTCTTTCTTGGTATTTATCCCCTGTTCCCCTCATTCGTTACCTTGCCTCTACTGTATCTGTTTAACCATATCCATCCCTCTATTTTTTTAATCGTATTTATCCTTGTTATTGTACACTGATCGATCACCCAACCCCAACCCCCTACTCTTTTCCATCGTCCCCCCTCCTCCTCCCCTTCCTCATTTCCGTTTTCTTTGTCGTTCTTCTTTCCCGTTTTCTTTACTTTGTCGTTCCTCCTTCCCGTTTTCTTTACTTTGACTGGTAGTTGTTAAGACCCGTTTTATTACCTTCATGTAGACAACCTGCCGTTCATATAGAAGGATGTTACTATATTTTGGATAATAAATATTATAAATGAAT